TTGATACCATTGGGCTGCAGGGTTCCCAAGCGGAATATGAGTTGCTGTTCCTGCAACCTTCGGGTGGCATCGTTGTGGCACTGCAGGAGGCCCAGGATGGACATGTCGTCTGAGGAATGGGAGGGGGAGTTGAAATGGTTCGCGACTGGGAGGTGCAGTTGTTTGTTGCGAACCGAGCGTAGGTGTTCTGCAAAGCGGTCCCCGAGTCTCCGCTTGGTTTCCCCGATGTAGAGGAAGCCACTCCGGGTACAGCGGATGCAGTATACCACATTGGCAGATGTGCAGGTGAACATCTGCTTGATGTGGAAAGTCTTCTTGGGGCCTGGGATGGGGGTGAGGGAGGAGGTATGGGGGCAGGTGTAGCACTTCCTGCGGTTGCAGGGAAAAGTGCCGGGTGTGGTGGAGCTGGAGGGGAGTGTGGAGCGGACAAGGGAGTCACGGAGAGAGTTGTCCCTCCGGAAAGCAGATAAGGGTGGGGAGGGAAAGATGTCTTTGGTGGTGGGGTCAGATTGCAGATGGCGGAAGTGTCGGAGGATGATGTGTTGGATCCGGAGGTTGGTGGGGTGGTACGTGAGGACGAGGGGGATTCTTTTTTGGTTTTTATTGCGTGGACGGGGTGTGAGGGATGAGGTGCGGGAGATGTGGGAGACACGGTTGAGGGCGTTCTCGACCACCGAGGAGGGGAAGTTACGGTCCTTGAAAAACGAGGACAACTGAGATGTACGGGAGTGGAATGCCTCATCCTGGGAGCAGATGCAGCGGAGGCGAAGGAATTGGGAATAGGGGATAGCATTTTTGCAGGAAGGTGGGTGGGAGGAGGAGTATTCTAGGTAGCTGTGGGAGTCGGTGGGCTTGAAATGAATATCGGTTTCTAGGTGGTTGCCCGATATGGAGACAGAGAGGTGTTAGAGATGGTCCAGGTAAACTTAAGGTTGGGGTGGAAGGTGTTAGTGAAGTGTATGAACTGTTCGAGCTCCTCGTGGGAGCACGAGGCGGCGCCGATACAGTCATCAATGTAACGGAGGAAGAGGTGGGGTTTAGGGCCGGTGTAGGTACGGAAGAGGGATTGTTCCACGTAACCTACAAAGAGGCAGGCGTAGCTTGGGCCCATGCGGGTACCCATGGCTACCCCCTTTGTCTGTAGGAAGTGGGAGGAATTGAAAGAGAAGTTGTTGAGTGTGAGGATGAGTTCGGCTAAGCGGATGAGGGTGTCAGTGGAGGGGGACTGGTCGGGCCTGCGGGACAGGAAGAAGCGGAGGGCCTTAAGGCCATCTGCATGGGGAATGCAGGTGTAGAGGGACTGGACGTCCATGGTAAAGATGAGGTGTTGGGGACCGGGGAATTGGAAGTTCTGGAGGAGGTGGAGGGCGTGGGTGGTGTCACGGACATAGGTAGGGAGTTCCTGGACCAAGGGGGAGAAAATGGAGTCTAGATAGTTGGAGATCAGTTCGGTAGGGCAGGAGCAGGCGGAGACAATGGGTCGACCAGGGCATTCAGGTTTGTGGATTTTGGGAAGGAGATAGAAGCGGGCAGTGCGAGGTTGGGGAACGATGAGGTTGGAGGCCGTGGGTGGGAGGTCACCTGAGGTGATGAGGTTGTGGATGGTTTGCGAGATGATGGTTTGGTGCTCAGGGGTGGGGTCATGATCAAGGGGGCGGTAGGAGGAGGTGTCGGAGAGTTGGCGTCCGGCCTCGGCGATGTAGAGGTCAGTGCGCCATACTACAACTGCGCCTCCCTTGTCCGCGGGTTTTATGGTGAAGTTGGGATTGGAGCGGAGGGCTGCACGTTCTGCGGGGGAGAGGTTGGAGTGGGTGAGAGGGGTGGAGAGGTTGAGGCGATTGATGTCTCGACGGCAGTTGGAGATGAAGAGGTCGAGGGAGGGTAGGAGACCTTGGGGTGGTGTCCAGGAGGAGGGGGTGTGTTGGAAGCGGGAGAAGGGGTCAGTAGAGGGAGGGTTAGGTTCACGGTTAGAGAAGTAAGCGTGGAGGCAGAGGCGGCGGAAAAACTGCTCTATGTCCAAGCGTGAGCGGTATTTGCGGTATCCTGGATTTAGCTGTCTCCTTTTCTTTATCAATGTTACCCTTCCTAATCTGCCTGTCTCTCTTGAAGGCCTTCTTAGAATGTTTTTATTAACATTACCTCCTATATACATAGGTGTCTACAGATTTCCTGTCAACAGTAGCCTCTAGGATGCATAAGGTTCATTCAATACAAGGTTCAATAGTCTGCTTTTACTTTTACAACGGAAATATTAATTTAATCCTTATAATTATAGTCAAAAAATCTAAATTTACTCTAATGTGTGTGAGGTATATCCCAAACCTTACTACCATAGCTAATCCATTGCAGCAGTTGAGTAGAAAAAATGAATGGTTTAAATTTGATGATGGTCAAAAACTTAGCTTTTACAGACAGTTTAACAAGTGCCTAAATTGAGGGATACTATGATCCAAATTCACCAACAATGGTCATAGCAGTTCTTAGTCGAGTAGAATTATGAACAGAACCATTGTAAATGCATGCTGAAGCCCCAGGAATCATTGCCTATGTCAGCAAATCTCTGACAGATGTGGAGAGTAGATAATCTCAAAATGAGAAAGAGGACCTAAGATTGATGTGTGAATGTGAAAGATTTCATCATACTTGTTTATGTTGTGTTTGAATTATTGTGGTTGGTTGGCTTGCCGAGCTGGTTCATTGTTTCATTACCCTGCTGAGTAACATCATCAGTGCAGCCTCCGATGAAGAGTTTGAATTAATTATGAATTGCAAGCCATCAGAGATGTGTTATTCTCGCAGATCCCAAACCATGTGCCAGAATTGAAAGGTGGATTTTGAGACTCCCGTGCTACAACGTTGCTGGACAGATGAAAATTGCTGACTCACTGTCGCAACTACTGAGGGAGGATCAAGCATATAGATACCCATCAGAGAAGGAAGCTGAATTATTTTTGTGGTTTTCTACATCCAGAGCAATGACAGGTAGGAAGTTTGAAAGAGATTCAGACGAAGATACAGAATTGGATGATGTCAGACATAGAATCCAAAACGGAAAATGGAAGAGTTGCCATTCAGGACATACATTGCTACAGAAGATGAATTGTGTACAATTGAGAAGTGAGTTCTTGGGGGTAACAGACTTGAAATACCATAAAAATTAAGGCTAGTCCAGTGAACCGAAGCATGATGGCCAGAGATGGAGAAAAACATGGAGCAGTTTGTCATGCATGTCAACAAACCCAATCCATCAGAAACAATATGCAGCAGACTGCTACTAATTGCATCATAGGAAGATATAGCAGCTGACTTTTTAAACTCACCTCCATTAGTGCACACTTATTTTCTTTATTCTATCATATTGCCATCTCTAACTGCCCTTGAACTGGGTAGTTATCTAAGCCA